ATCCAACCTCAAACTACCTGGCCATGAGATGCATACCATAGTCAACTTATGAAGCTTAGTGAGTTCATAGTTTGCGTGAATAAAAACATATCTTGACATATTATATGGCATATATGCATGCTTTATAATAAAAGTCACATCTTTTATAAAAATATATTTAAAACACTGAAAAGGAGAGATCCCATATAATGTTTAATTCAGTATGGGTCATTTAGTCACAAACACGTCCTAAGTTGATATGTCAGTCTTAATTGATCACCCACTTATTTAGGTCGTGTTTTATACTAGTTGTGACTTATTGGTCAAATTTTCACCCTTTACTCATAAACTTTAATATGGAATAGAATGGTAGAGTTATTTGAAAACTGATTAAACACATAGCATGTAACTGTTCACAAAATAGCATACATGTAAAATATATCGTAAGATGTATGTAATTAAAATATCATGCATGACTTTTCAGACTTGTACTCTTGAAATAGCTCTGAAGTATAACTCTGAAGAATAACTTTAGACTTGTACTCTTGAAATAACTCTAAAGTAAAACTCTTCAGACTTTAGAGCTCTATATAGACAATCCAGAAGCTCTGCATGCACTATGCAGGCTCTGCATGCACTATGCAGAGGCTCTACATGGTGCTCCATTTGGAAAAGAAGACTTCAGAGTTCGGGTGAGCTAACTCTGAAGAATGACTCTTCAGACTTGTATTTTGGAAATAACTCTGAAGTAAAACTCTGAAGAATGACTCTTCAGACTTATACTCTTGAAATAACTCAGAAGTATAAAATCAATCCCACTAAATCAGAGTTTAGACTTCTAAGTCTGAAAAAAAGACTTCAGAGTTCAAACTTTTAGAGTTCGGGTGAGCTAAGTCTGAAAAAGAAGACTTCAGAATTCAGGTGAGCTAATTCTGAAGAATGACTCTTCAGACTTGTAGAAGACTTCAGAGTTCAGCCTTCTAAGTCTGAAAAAGAAGACTTCAGACTTCTTTTTCTAAGTCTAAAAAAACACTTCAGTGTTCAGACTTTTAAGTCTGAAAAAGAAGACTTCAGAGTTCAGACTCTAGAGTTCGGGTGAGCTAATTCTGAAAAAGCAGACTTCAGAGTTCGGGTGAGCTAATTCTTTAGAATGACTTTTCAGACTTGTACCCTTGAAATAACTCTGAAATATTACTCTAAAGAACGACTTCGAACTTATACTCTTGAAATAACTCTGAAGTAAAACTTTGAAGAATGACTTCATACTTGTACTATTGAAATAACTCTTAAGTATAAATCTGAAGAATAGCTCTAAAGAATGACTCTTCAGACTTGAATTTAGAAATGAAACTATATCAATAATTAGTTAAAATGAAGTTAACCCTAGTATAAAATTGAATTTAGAAATGAAACTATATCAGTAAATTGAATTTAAACTTAGAAGAGCGCTTGTGTCAAATCTGAAGACTTTGAGTTCAGAGTTATTCAAATATCCAATATCTTTGAAAAAGACCCCATGGTAAAGTTTGCATCATACAGAACAAGACCAACCAGAGCTCTTCTGGTCCTTAAGGATCAGAGCCCCTGTGGACTCACCAACCAAAAGCAAGGCCAACCAAAGGCCCTCTAGTCAACCAGAGCCTCTAGGTCAAAAAAATGTTAAATACTTAAAGAATTTGTGTTTTAATTACAATCAGAGACCCTCTGGTTAAACATGAAGATCAACTAGAGACCCTTTGGTTCCTTTATGATGGATTGAAATATTTTTCCAATGTTCAAATAAACAACCTAAAGCAAAGCCATCCAGAAACCAGACCAACCAGAGGGGCTCTGGCTACAAGACTAAGTCTAAATCTTAAAGACTTATCTTCAAAGTCTAGATAAGTTTATTATAAGACTTGTACTCTTGAAATTACTTTGAAGTAAAACTCTCCAGACTTCAAAGCTTTGTATAGGCAAGCCAGAAGCTCTGCATGCACTATGTAGAGGCTCTACATGGTGCTCCGTCTGGAAAAGAAGAGTACAAAGTTCAGGTGAGCTAACTCTGAAGAATGACTCTTCAGACTTGTACTCTAGAAATAACTCTGAAATAAAACTTTGAAGAATGACTCTTCAGACTTGTACTATTGAAATAACTCTGAAGTTTAAAATCAATCACATTAAATTAGAGTTCAGACTTCTAAGTCTGAAAAAAAGACTTCAAAGTTCGGGTGAGCTAAGTCTGAAAAACAAAACTTCAGAATTCGGGTGAGTTAACTCTAAAGAATGACTCTTCAGACTTGTACTCTTCAAAATTATAGAAGACTTCAGAGTTCAGACTTCTAAGTCTGGAAAGGAAGTCTATACTTCTTTTTTTAACTCTAAAAAAAGGATTTCAGAGTTCAGACTACAGAGTTCGAGTGAGCTATGTTTGAAAAAGCAAACTTCAGAGTTCGGGTGAGCTAACTCTGAAGAATGATTTCAGACTTGTTCTCTTGAAATAACTCTGAATTAAAACATTTCAGTAAATTGAATTTAGAATAAAATGAACTTAACCTTAGAATAAAATTGAACTTAGAAATGAAACTATATCAGTAAATTGAATTTAAACTTAGAAGTAAACACCATTTTTTTTTCGAGAATCAGTTACGACACAAATTAATTAACCCAAGAATAAAATCAATTGCATCCAAAATTAGTGAATTGATTGAATAAGATGACACATGTCAATCAAATGAGTATAATTGAACTGTTAATGTAAATTGTGTCTAGATACGTTCAAATGAGTCTAATTGAACCACTAATGTAAATAGTGTCTAGATACATGTTTAGGCGGGAAAACAAGAAAACCGACTCACTAGAAGATGACACGTGTCACCCAAGTTACTTATTTGTTATAAATATATATAAGGACAGGTTCATTTGTTAACCCAAATTATTGTGTTAACTTTGTTAATCAATCTTGACAATTAATCTTTGAAGTTTGTGGCTAAGATCATTCATGATATAAAGTGTAAATAATTGTATACATAGACATGGTAACATAATTGAACAATGTTTACAAGGGGTATTTTGGAAAAAGATTTTAGTTGTCCATTAATGACAATGTGATGTTTTGTAACCGTCCATTCATGACAATGATATGTTTTGTAACTGTCCATTAATAACAATGTAACTATCCGGGAATTAATCTCGTCATCGAATCAAAAGCAACATCAAGATCCTCGACACCAGATTCTTCTACAGTTTTTTGTTAATGGTTCATATGTGAACGTTCAAGTATTCGATATTTATGAGAATTGTTCGTGTGTGAACATGGGTGTATATGGAAAAAAGTCGTAACGATTTTTGTAACATTCATGTTTTTGTTTTAGTAAACACATACACTATGTAGTCTCGTTTATATACGAAATAAATGTGGAATGATACATGGTTCACCTATGAACAAACATCAAATTTTGGGTTTTATGAACAATGTTCATGTATTTACTTCTGAATACTATTCAATTGTTTTTAAATAATTGGTAATTTGTACATACCCAATTTTTGTGTTTATCCATAATTGCTTGAACGATATCGAAGACTTTACTACCAGGTCTTCTCCACCAATTACAAATTCATAAACATTAAAGATGGAAGATCAATATTAAAAAAATAACAAGATCAATATTAAAAATGCACAAATCATGGGATTTTATAATCTTGTAACTCCCAATTAATGATATAGATGTTACATAAAAAAGAAAATTACCCATATACCCTTGTCATTAAATTCTAAGATAGAGAATAACTGACTACTCAGATGGATTGTGATTGGTTGAAAAAGTTTATAAAATTAACACAATAGTTTGGGTTAACATTTGAACTAAGCGTTCTCTCTCTCTCTCTCTCTCTCTCTCTATATATATATATATATATATATATATATATGTATATATATATATAGGTGGAGGTTCAAACGAGAACTCCTCCATTTTACGAGAATGCGAGAACACCCTTATCACATCTGATAATACGCGTGAGGGGCCCTGTGGTGTGCGGACGACGTGTTCTATGAATTAGGCCACACCAAAAGTTGTTTGTGTCTATGATTTAGCATCACATGTGATGGTCTTGATGGATTATAGTATCATATCAACAACACTCTTATCACATGTGATAATACATATGAGAGGACTTAGTGGTGTAAGGGCGACTTGGCCCGCAACCAATATCGCATCGAAAATCGTCTGTGTCTTTGATTTAGTATCGCATGTGATTGAATAATAGTATCACATGTTCTCTGATTTAGTATTGCATACAGAGTTCGGGTGAATTATGTCTGAAAAAGCAAACTTCAGAGTTCGGGTGAGCTAACTCTGAAGAATGACCTCAGACTTGTTCTCTTGAAATAACTCTGATCTTGTTAATATTTCAAAGTTATTTCAAGAGTACAAGTCTGAAGAGTCATTCTAAATTACTTCTAAGTTTAAATTTAATCTACTGACATAGTTTCACTTCTAAATTTAATTTAATTCTAGGATTAACTTCATTTTAATTAATTATTGATATAATTTCATTTCTAAATTCAAGTCTGAAAAGTCATTTTTCAGAGTTATACTTCAGAGTTGTTTCAAAAGTACAAGTCTGAAGTAGTATCGTACTTTCGATAATCATTCATATCTGTAAGATAAGTTCTTGACATTATTTAATTTTTTCAAATTACCTCGTGTAATACACGGGATCGGACCTAGTATATATATATATATATATATATCATGTATTATATTAATTAAAAAATAATTTGATAAAATAAATGTTACGGTAAGTAGAGAATTAAAATATATAAATGGTAATTACAAAAATTGAAGCGGCACAATTAAAAAAAATACATGAATTACAGGTAACTTAATGGAAGGATAACGCCTAAAAATTCGAGCTAGGTGGAGTAACAGGTAACCTTCGCGCCACGTTTATGGTGAGTTTAACTGGCGGATAACCCGAAGGTGGTGACAAAATTATTATTTTGTTTAAGTACTCTTCTTTATTATTTTTTGAAGATGACGTTATGGGTTGAAATTCAATACCGCGTCTCCATTCTTGCACCATACTAATCTGTCGATAATCACATCACTATCTCACTTGGGTTTTCTGCCTGTCTTGCGGAGAACCCACTTCCATTTTGTAAATGAATTCATTCGGCTGACGATGTAGCAGCCATGGGTATTGATGATTCATCCTCTTCATCTTCAGAAAAGCGTAGCTTTCGTGAGCTTGATGATGTTTTCTTACAGGTATTTTTTCTTTTACTTTTTCACCCGCCAGGTGTATGTATTAATGTATTATTGTCCCTGTGTGGCTGTGTGTGCTATGGTGTACACTATGACTAGGAGTAGTTGCTCATCTGGGGACGATTACCTTTTTACTGTTGAGATCAAGCCAAGCAATTTTTTGATGTAAAATTGATATAAACTTCCTTGCAACTTAAAACCAACCACGTTTATATGTGTTTGAATGTTGTATACTTTGATGGGATTATACATATTTTCTTGAATTTCTTGTCCACTTTGATTTCAAGAATTCTGACCTCAGGGTTTTAAAATCCTAAATTGATATGGTTTTAGTTTTGTGCCTCAAAATTTTGCCTATTTGTAAAACTGCCAAGCGAGAAAATGGCAAAGAAGCTTCGTAGAGGAACCCATTTTTGCATTTAACTTATTTTTGGACCCGATAAAACCTTTTGTTTGGAGTCGGAATACCACTTCATGAATAACAAGAAAAAAGTAGCAATTCCGTTTCAAATGGTTCGAGGTTGGAAGCATCCTGCTATCTGTAGATAGGCGAGAATGTTCAGGTGAATGGGGTAATAAAACCATCCATAAAGCTCAATGGTTTTTAGGTTCAAAAATAAGCCCAAGAATTATAACCCACTTTAAGTTCTAGTTTCAACTCAAATCCAAGAAGGATAGAGATTTTAGTAATCTCTGGTTTATAATAGAGATGATCACATCCAAGATTTGGGGGAACCAAAAGATTTTTAACTGAAAACCGTGCACTTTTTGTTTATTTTACCAAGAAGCTTTGGAACTAAACTTTCCCAGTTGAAAGAATCTACTCCATTATGAATGTTGCTTTTTGAGTTTTACCAAAGAAGGAAAAAGATATTCAAAGTTAGAGATGCTTACATAAGGATAACAAAAACCATGTAGTTGTAGTTTGTAATGAAGTTATAAAACTGAAAGCATCAGTCTTCTTGACCTAGAGGAGAAGCCCCCTTTGGAAAAGACTAACAGACAAGTTCATGCGAATTGGGAAACTAGCATAAGCCATGAAAGACGGTGAAAATTTTCTTAACCTTGCTTTCCTCTCATCATCCTTTTTGTTATCAGATTCTTAGGTTTCCAACTGAAATCCAATTGTTTGTGTGCTGATGAGGTCTAGGATAATTTATACCTGTCATTTAAGTTTAATTTCCCCCATTCGGGGTCACTAGGATCAACAGGTCTTGTCATCTTTGCCAAACGTGATGCTTACACTAGGGATGTCATATTGAGTGACAGATGGTCATGTGGATCATTAGGCTGCATATATGGAATAACCTAACTGAATATGAATAAGGCAACAACCTGTAACAAAACTCAAATATTGTTCAAAATACATTCTTTAAGGTTTACAAGAGTTATACAAGTTGGAAACTGGGAAAAAAAGGGCAGAAGATAATTTAGTTATGATTATGCAGAATTTTCCTGTGAATTGCTTTCATGTACTTTCTAGCTTCTGGGCACATATATATGTAAAGTGTAACCTAAACTATTTCATTTTTTAATGCTGGATCTGATTTTTCTCGTTTATATGATTTAGTCTCAAGCAAGAATATGGCTTGGAGAAGTGCTGCACACAAGATTTGATGAGCTACTAAGCATATGTGATCTACTTTCTGATGGGAAGCTGCTGTAGGTTCTTACCCTTTATGTTGATATGGCATTTTTTTGTGTTGCATAGTATTTCTATTCAAATATGGGGAGCATTAGTTTTCTAAGATGTAAATGGATGTAAACGTTGACATAGTAAATGCTTTGAAAAAAAATGAAAGATGTAGCTGTTTTCTGTGTACCCATGTTATTGAAGATTAATGAAAACTGGAGAGTTCCACAGTTTACAGCTTGTATGTGAGTGTTCAGATTAATCTAAACCTGCTTGTATTCATATTAAACAACTTCTTAAATCAGAAATGAACTCATCAATTTTAAATCTAAAATTGGTTCATCTTGAAGTCAAAGTCAGCATATGGTAACCTTTAGAGAATGTATGAGGTGGTAAAGAGAATCGACATGTATGGCCAAGAAGTGTATTATTTGTTTATGACTGAAACGACCTTATTTGACTTCACAGATTTGATGTTTCAAAAGCATTATGGAATATGTTGTTGGTTAAATATATGGAGCTCAACAATTTTAAAGATCATATGATTATACCAGTTGATACAAGGAAGAGCAGTGGGAGATATAGGCCTTACTCCAACATTGATTCGTTTTTTAAGGCAAGCTTCTTATTTTTTGTATGCTTAGAACTACAATGTAATAAATCTCGCTTTGCAAATTATTTCTAGTCCCTAGTGCTGTCCACATTATTTCCTCTCCTTGTCATAAACCACACATGACTTATTGATACTTTGCCTATTAGTTCCACTTCTTGCTGTTAGAGAATATATATGCAAACACAATATTTCATTATCTAGACTTCCATCAAATCCTTTACATATACATAATACATATATATATATATATATATATATACTAAACCAAACGACACCATGAACAGACACACCTATTCGAACCGGTGATTGTTACACCAGACCATAACCAACCTATTAACTGTCACATGATAACTATAAATAACTATATTAAGTACCAGCAATGTCTAGCTTATATTTTAACACTCCCCCTATAAGCTAGACACTTGATCCACACCCAATTCCATCTTCAATCTTCCAAAGTTCCCAACTTGCAATGCCTTCGTGAGAATATCTGCAATCTGATCTTTAGTTCCACAAAATTCCACTTCAACTTTGTTGTCTTGAACAAGCTCTCATATAAAATGATATTTGATCCGTATATGCTTACTTCGACCATGAAACACAGGATTCTTAGCGAGAGCAATGGCTGATCTGTTATCACACATAATCTTTGTAGCTTCAGCCTGTCCCATCCTTAATTCCTTTAGAATACCACGCAACCACAAGGCTTGATACCCTGCCATTGAAAGAGCAATGGATTCTGTCTTGGCGGATGATAGTGCAACCACCTTCTGTTTCTTTGATTGCCATGATATGGCTCTCGAACCAAGGTTGAATATATAACCACATGTGCTTTTGCTGTCATCCATGTTACTTCCAAAATCACTGTCAATAACCTTTCAAAACAGCCCTATTAGTTTTAATATATACAATTCCATGATTGTAGTTCCTTTCACAAACCTCATAATCCTTTTAGCAGCATCTAAATGACTCTTTTTGGGAGTTTCCATATATCTGCTTATCACACTATTAACAAACACTCTATCAGGACGAGTAGCAGTTAAATACATGAGACTGCCTACCATGCTTTGATAGAGTGTAGGATCCACACATTCTTCCCTTGAGTTCTTAGATAACTTCATACCAAATTCCATAGGAGTGTTTGCTGTGATTGCATCCTTCATATTAAATTTATTAAGCAGATCCTATGCATACTTTTGCTGAGAAATCATTACCCTATCACTTGTTTGCTGAACTTCAATTCCCAAAAATTAATGAAGCAAACCCAGATTTGTCATCTCAAATTCGATCTTCATAGAATCTTTAAATGTCTTTATCATTTCATGTGAACTACTTGTAAAGACAAGATCATCTACGTAAATGCATACAATAAGAAGCATACCTTCTTGGTCTTTTATGAAGAGAGTATGTTCATGTGTGCACTTTTTAAAACCATTATCCAGAAAGTACCTTTCAATTCTACTATACCATGCTCGTGGGGCCTGTCGTAGGCCATATAGAGCCTTTTTTAAGTGACAAACCTTCATTTCTTCACCTTTCTTAACATACCCTTGCGGTTGATCTGTATATACATCTTCTTCCAAGTAGCCATTAAGAAAGGCTGATTTTACATCCATCTGATGCACACTCCAGCCTTCAATTGTAGCCAATGCTAATACCAATCTAATAGTTTCAAGTTTGATCACAAGAACAAAATCATCTTGATAATCTGTCCCAAAATGTTGCTTGTAACCTTTCACAACTAATCTGGCCTTGTATTTATCCACGGGTCCTTTCTCATGCCCTTTCTCATTCAATTTTGTTTTATAAATCCACTTAACCCCTATTTATTTCTTCCCGGATGTAAATCCACCGGTACCCATGTATTATTCTTTGTTATTGCTTTCACTTCTTCATCCATGGCTGTTTTCCATCTAGTATTCGCAGCAACCTCCTCGAAATTTAGTGGATCTGCATCTACAAAGAGTGCAAAATCTGCTATATTATCATAATCTTATCTCTGAGTAGTTTCATACAAATCTTTCATACTTCTATACTTCCTTGGAGGTGAACTAGATGAAGATGTTGATGTAGGAGTATGGGCAGCACTGTTATTTATAGGAGAAAGTGTTCTAACTTCGTTTTGTGGGTTCGTATTGTTTTCTTGTTCTTCATTTTCGAAGCCTTGCTGATTGTCTTCGTGAATTTCAACATTTACTCCATCTTTGTCTTCAATAGGACTTGTCCAAGTCTTATCTTCATCGAATATTACATCCCTACTTACTATCACTTTCTTTGTAATAGGGTTATACAACTTGTACGCCGTTGAATGCTCACTGTATCCAGCACATATTTCTTTCTCTGAATGATCATCTAATTTTCCTCTCCTTTGTTCAGGAATGTGTGAATAGGCCATCCAAAAATTCTAAGATGACCAACACCTAGTTTATGTCCACACCATGCCTCTTGTGGAGTAATCTTAGGAACAACCTTTGTTGATGCTCTATTCATAATATATGCAACATGTGTCCAAAAGATATCAAGTAAACCTTTGTTTCTAAGCATGCTCCTAGCCATCTCTAATAGACTTCGATTCTTCCTTTCGGCCACCCCGTTTTGTTGTGGGGTGTACCTGGTAGTCGATTGATGATGTATCCCGTTTTCATTTTTTTTTTTTTTTGAAATTGAACAGCATTGAATTCTCCCTCACGATCTGTTCTTAAACACTTTATCTTCTGATTGCTTTGGTTTTCAACAAAAGCTTTGAAGTTTATGAACATTCCAAATACTTCAGACTTTTCTTTTAGAAAGTAGGTCCAAATCTTCCTGCTGAAATCATCAATAAACGTTAATATGTAACTGCTGCCACCTATGGAAACTGTTCGCATTGGTCCACATACGTCTGAATGGACCAATTCCAATACTTTAGTCACCGTCCATGCTTTATCATGTGGAAAGGGTTCTCGTGAATGTTTCCTAAAGTACATGATTCACATATTTCATTTACCTTACATATGGCTGGCATTCCTCTACCATATCATTTTCTGCACATATAAGTTAAGGAATCAAAGTTCACGTGTCCATAACTGTGATGCCATAATATTGATGGATTCTGACTTATTGTGTGCAGACTAAAAAAGTCTTCATCTTTAAACTTTATTGGGAACATTTTATTTGTAGTCATATTACATATATACTCTCCCCAGGAGCAATTTATTCTTATCTTTGATTTCAACTAACCCCTCTCGATGTCATATCCCTTTAATAACAACTGTCCAACACTTATCAAGTTACGTTTGGGTCCAGGAACATAGTATACATCGGTTATATTCTTATCCCCCTTCTTGGTTTTAATCAAGACTTCACCAATACCTTGTACTTCCAATTTCCTGTCATCTCCTGTCTTAACTTCTCTCTTATAAGATTCTTAGATCAATTTGAACAACTTTTTATTCCCTGTCATGTGGTTGCTACAACCACTATCCAAATACCATATCTCATTCAAAGGTAATTCTTGAATACCAAGCATCATAAACATTGATTATTCTTCCTTATTATCCTCTTTGTGTATAAAACTTGAATTGCCTTCTTCCTCTGCAATCCTCTTTCTACAAACACGTTTTGTGTGTCCAAACTTTAGGCAGTGATAACATTGAATCTGGGACATTGGTTTTCTTGTCCTCTTCCTTTTTCATTGTGGTCTTCTTTTGAACCTTCACCAAACTTTGATTTATTGCTCGAATTCCCTTGAGTACTATTCTGTAGTTGAAAGGCATGTTCTAATGGCTGTGAATCGAATTTCTTCAACCTTAATTCATGCGATTGCAGGATTCCCAACAAAATTTCCAGAGACAAATCTGATAGATCCTTCAATTCTTCTATTGCAACCACGATATATTCAAATTTTCTCGTCAAGCTTCTTAAAATTTTCCCAACAGCTCTTCTGTCTTCAATGTTTTCTCCATTAATTTTCAGTTGATTCATCAGTATGGTCACACGATTGTAGTATTCTTCGATACTTTCAGTCTCCTTCATCTTTAAATTGTGGAATTCACATAGTAGAGTCTGTAGACGTACCACTTTTACTCTTTCTTCCCCTCGATATGTTCTTTGAAGTATATCCCATGCCTCTTTGGAAGTCTTTGCTGTCGAGATTCTCTCAAAAATATTTTCATCTATTGCTTGAAACATAAGGAATAGAGCCTTGCTATCTTTCCTTTTATTTTCTTTATCTTCAAGAACCTGTTGAGGAGTGGTTTCTTCACCGAAACCAATTCTCTGTACCATTTTCAATAAACGACCAAAGATCTTGTGATTCATATAACACCCTCATCTGTATGTGCCAATTATGATAGTTCCTCCCTGTTAACTTCGGCAGTTGTTGAATTCCACTGTTGTTGTTCATATTCGAAGCCATAGTGATCTGGCTCTGATACCAAATGTTAGAGAATATATATGCAAACACAATATTTCATTATCTGGACTTTCATCAAATCGTTTACATACACAGAATACATACATATATACTAAACCAAACCACACCATGAACAAACACACATGTTCGAACTGGTGGTGGTTACACCAGACCATAACGACCTATTAATTGTCACATAATAACTATATTAACTACCAGTAATGTCTAGCTTATATTTTAACACTTGCATCGTTTAACATCATTTATCTTTTTAATAGTTAATTAATAAATTCTTGTCATCTTCAAAGCTGAGAAGTATTTCGTTTGAATCTTAAAACAGTACACATACTTTGGTCTATGGGATGGAGGAATAGCATTACTATACCATGCATGTTAAGACCTAGGTGATGCACACCAGGAGTTGTCTGTAAATAAATTTATACTACAATTAAATAAAGAGGAAATACCATTAAATGGTGGGGAAATATTAGGCAGCAGATTTACTTTATAAAGAACCTGAATAATCTAAAAGAGCTAAACGAACTGTGTGGAAATAAATCAAAAAGATATTTTGCCAGGTAAAAGTGATAGTAGTGTTTGGTTTCTATCTTTTACATTCTCCCCGAAAAAGAACTCTTTTGATCATTTCCTGACCTTGATTCGTTGCAAGTATGCCAAAGGGTCATAGTGTTTCTGAAAAGTCATATTGATGTGAATTTATTCTAAGTAAAGATGACAATAACTTCATTTTTTCTTTGTTGCAGGTATGTAAGGTTTTGGGATTGAGTGGTGTGGATCTTTTCTCCCCATCTGATGTTGTGGAGAAGAGAGGCACTCGAAAAGTATGTATGTGTATACGATCTCTATCGAAGAAAGCCAGGTCTAAGCAATTAAATGTGAGTAATATTACATATTACGTCTGATGCTAGCTCACCTTGTTTCTTAGTGCTTACTCATATGAAATAGTACTCCCTTCAATCACTGATGCTTATAGACCTTTTGATTCTAACCTAGTATTTGGCATATGAGGGTGTTAATAGTTAGCAGTCACTGCACAAAATTTTGAGCAATGATCACTAAAATTCTCCATGAAATCGTTATTTCCCATGTGAAAAACGTGTTCCAGACATGGGCATTTGGTACTTGCTGTTGAAAACCGTGTAGTGAATTTATAAATCTTTTGTCACGGTATGTATTATGCTACTAATTTTTCACTATATATTAAGTTGTATCCTCTACTGTCAAGTGGTTATCAACTTCAAAAAATTTGTGAATCCATGTGAAGATATAAAATGTTTATTTAAGTTTCTTGGTGAATGCATGCAAGGGTGTGCGGCTGCTGATAGTACCCTGCTGTTGGTGGTTGGTTCATAGGTGCTTTACTGTAACGAAAATTACTATTTGGAGTCATTTCTTCACTGTAAAATGTTATTGTCTTGAATAACATTTGTGAAACTTGATCGTTATTACCCACAAGTCACAATGTACTAGAAAGACGATCTTAGAAAAGTTAGAAATGTAATATATGATGACACTTAACAAACTTTATTGTGCTAGGTTCCAGATTTTGATGATGTTACCAAAACAATAGCCATGCCCACAAATGTAGTTGGATGCATCAGAAGAAGCTTGGAATTATCGACATGCAGTGTTACCCACAGACGAAGTACAGATGCAAGATTGAGATTCAGGCAGGTATTCTAATTTCTACTGACAACTTAACCTCTCTGTTTTAGGGCTTTGCGATAATTGTCCAATCTAGAAGTTCTGAAAACAAGCAGCTTTCCTAGAGTTCTTACTATGAAGAAATTTTGTACTTATAGGTTTATATGTGTCCAAAATTGTTGATAAAACTTCAAAATCAATAGGCTAAAAGTACTATTTCTCAACTTGTCTGTAGAAAAGTTCCTCTGCATCACTTAAACAAGAGGACAAGTCATGTCTTGAAGAATCTGATGAGGAAAAAAGTAATTTTTCAGACACTTCATATGCAGATTATCTATATTTGGAGTCAGGCGAGTCACCAGAGGCAGTCGATAAGTATGCTCTTACTCAAAGCATACAACAGGTTGATACCAAGAAGCAAAAAATGGATATATTTGCTCACATACCAGGATCAGCAGAATCCATTGTCTTGCAATTTGTTAGTAGTGATAATCTACTGGATGGAATTTCATCGCCTGTTTGTGAATCACGATTGATGATATGTGATGAGTTCACACCCATAAACCATGGAGAAGATTTTTGGCATGATGAAGAACCAGAGAGAATTGATGTTAGTCATGGAGCTCTTAGTACGCCGAACATGGGGGAAGTCAATCATCATATATCTTTATCAAATAGTCTTTCCTTTAGAATTCTGGCTCCTGTTCATATCTCTGCGAATTGCTTGTGCCATTCATGTATTGGTACTGAAACCCATAATTCAAATACAACACCCAACGCTTCCATGTATAGAATATGGAGGAAGTTTCCTGATGATATAGAGCCATCTTCCATAAGCAGTGTGAGCTCTGTAGGGGGCCGTGTAATTGACTTTGACTTTGATGCCAAGTCTGAGCCAGATGATCTCAAAACTTCGATATTCCAGTTTGGAACAAAGCTAGAAAATTCTATAGATTCTATTTCACCATGTGCGGATGATGCAAACTTGTACAGGTCAGTAAATCAAGATCTTGAATCACTGAATCACAAATCTCAGACCCAAAGACATTTGGGAGATTCCTTAGTGTTGGTGAAGGATAATGTCACAAATATTACAGACAATATCCAAGAAATTTTGGTAAGTAAAGGGGTGAATGACAAGTTGATGAAGGGTGTTGAAATGGCTGATTCAAATTCGACTTACATAGTGGATGGTATATGTAATTATCGCATGACGGTTGAATCAAGTGAAAGATGTGATTGTCTCATACAGCATCAACCTGGAATATTGCAGGAGATTGGTAGAAAAGGTATGCCTACACCACATAGATGAAAGTTCAAATGAGGACCATAAATATTTTGAGAACTTAGGAACCAACTATTTCATGTATTATTCATGATGAATAATTATTCATCATGAATATCACTCATTTTCATCATGAATATCTATCACGACATTTATCGTGAATAAAGCATGAATAGTTGGTTTCCGAGTTCTCAAAATATTTATGGTTCTGATCTGAATCTGCCCCACACCACATATTTCATATTCTGTTCATCACTATGGAATTTCTTCTTACTGTCAACCTTGCTGGATTAGTAAAGGTTTTGGCACTGTGAAGAAAGAAGATGATCAACTATGCACTAATCAAAGTGACGATGTTCATTGCTATGCTGTAGATAGAAGTAAAGCTGCTGGCAAGGTATCTTCATATTCTTGAGGAGAGTTCAGCAGTCCCACTTTTTATGTTGTACTCTAGCCATAAGTAGTTATACAATTTAAAGCATGGAATAAACCCACAAAGCGATACTGCTGAAACCATTCCATATTAGGAAAGATAGCAGTAGAGTTTTGGGTGTGAGGTCTCTGGTTCAAGCCCGGGCACTGCCAATTTGCAATGTATCCATGATGGCTGTGGGACCAGGGCAGTGGTTAGCGAACACCCTTTTTTACAGAAGCTAATGATCTTCACTTTTATTGGGTTATGTAGTGTGAAAGAAAAGAAGACGACATTGACAGTTTGGCGGAAACAAACACAAATGGGAGAAACGACAATGGAACTGTTAACATGGAGAAAAAGCCCAGCAGAGTGCCATTGATGAAAAGAGTTGCTAAAGGCACAGCCCTTATCGGCATTTTATTTTTGGTTCACCTCAGGTTCATCCTCAACCACATTGCTTCAAGTTTCCTTGCACAATAAACAACTTTTTCTGCTGAATTTCGTATTCTATACTCGTAATCTTGGACCTTTTCATGACTTTGAACTTAAATAACAGGAATACGAGGGATAGAAATAGAAACCACAAAATGTCAGAGAAATCAAGTCAGATTCATTGGAGGTCAAGTGGAGTGAGGTTGTCAAGAAGGAATGGAGAAAAGGGAAGCAAGATATATCCGGTTGAGAAGTTCAGATTTGGGGATTAGATATGAGAAGTTCAGATTTGGGGATTTTATATATATATATATATATATATATATATATATATATATATATATATATTCTATACTATATTATATATCTATATTATAAAATATTTGATAAAAACTTTTAAAAACCATGCATTACTATAATTTATTAAAGCTTCATGTTTGAATTCGTGTAACTAACTGTGGATAAAAATAATCAAATAGAGGATAAACATCTCATTTTAAAATATAAAAAATCTAAAATATATTTAGGATAATTATCGAGTTCTAACAAAATAATTAACTATTAACCAAATATAATTTAGGGGCTGTTTACCAAATTTTCTATTAAGTCTTGTATGGATAAATTTGTCTATCTGGATAAATTTGGCTGTCTGGATAAATTTATGTTGTTGTTTACTTTTCTATCTGAATCAACGGTCTGAATAACAGAAATGACCAATTTACCCTTGAGGATTAACTATGTGCTGTTTAGTAAATTGTTGTTTATTTTTTAAGCAAATGATATTTCTGAAAAATAAAATATTTAAATATCAAAACATAAATTTATAAATTCATTGATATCATCCAAAATTAAAACATAAATTCATAAAATACTTAAAACATTCAAGTTCAAACACAAAGTAGCCAAGTTCAAATACAAGTTGAAACACAAAAATCCAAGTTCAAACATTATTGACCAAACTATTCGCAATTTCATCTCTCAAAGTAGCCATATATTGAGTGCTATTAGCACCCCATTGGGAAATGTCCAGTTCTTCTTCTCCATTTTCTTCGACTTCTTCTTCGTTGTTAAATATACTATCCTCATTGCACTCCATAAACAACTGGTCTTGAATATTATATTTTCTGATGAAATTATGTATTGCAAAGCAAGCAATTACAACATTTCTTTGTGTTGTAAATGGAAAGGGAGTCATCTTCTTTAATATCGGAAATCTCGCTTTCAAGACACCGTAAGCACGTTCAATAACATTTCTGAGTTGGGCATGTGCATGATTAAACCTTTCTTCTTTAGTCAAAGTACGTCGACGTCGAAAATCTGCCAACCAATACCTTGTGTTACGATATGGAGCCAAAAATCCACGAGCATTGGCGTAGGTAGCATCACAAAGATAATATTTATCTGAAAAACCACCCACATCAATCGTATAATATACAAATAAGAAAACAAATTACAAATTGAGAATGGTACATACCTTGTGGTGGAAAGGGAAAACCAGATCTTGGGTTAAAAGTAACTTCCCTAAGTATTCTAGAATCATGCGCTATACCTTCCCATCTAGCCCAAACAAAAGTGAATATCATGTTGAAATCACAAATTCCTAGAACATTTTGATAGCATCGACCGCCTCCTCTTCCTCTATAAGCAGTTTGATGACTAGCTGGCACAATTGCATGTATAAGGGTACCGTCTAGAGCACCTACTGCACCCTTCATTAACAGAAAAAAGATTAATAAATACATGTGTGTGTATTTATATACAACTTTAAAATGTCAATAATAAATATTACCGGAAATATTTCTCTCAAACGTCTTTGATGACTTGACGTATTTAAAGTTGTATCAGAAGTTGTTGGCACCACTATTTCTCTTGCGAATTCCATCATACCAATGTAAAACTTCATGGAAACAAATATGAACAGTTCTTGTAGAGCGTTGAAATCTACGTTTAATCACTCTGTAACGCTCGTTATGGCCGATCATCGTCAAAAACATTGTCATTTTCTCTTCAACACTAACATGTCTACCGTCTTTTACCCAATTTCTTTGTCTAAAATAATTGCATAACAATATATATGCTTCACGTGAAAGGCGCATCAACTCTTGACATTGCGTACTAGGTCCGGTTAATAGTTCTTGGGTGTACGCATATCCGCTCATTGTCGAAGTATTATCGGGCATTCTTTCTATTCTTTCTGAGGCATTTCTCCGCCGTTTTACATATATATATATATATATATATATATATATATTAGTACTACGATCATCATTTCTTCCTCAAAAGTCAACATATCTATTCAAATAAAGAGGCATATTAAAAATCATATGTCCAAAAAAACGTGGCACCAAATTGTATCCAAAAACCTCACAAGTTAGTAACATAAAAGTTCTAAAAATGTTCTACTTCCAAAAAAAACATCATATGTCCAAAAAAACGTGGCACCAATCTTTACTGATATCCTTGTTTTGCCCCAACTGTTCTCACCCATTCTTTGGCAATTTCAGACGGTATTGTCATCCAAGCTTCTCTATTACGGTTGTCCGTAAGAAGAGAAAAGGCAATACGGTACAAGGGATCATTTTTTGCCCACCCAAGCTCGTTCAATTTTTTTAGGCATGACTCATAACTAACAAGCGCAGAGTTCCCATATTTCGATGCCATAGTATCCAAAAACTTTATAAGCTTTTCATCAAGCTCCGAATTGGCTTTCGTAGTCTTTTTATGCTTTTGTTTCTCAACCGGAGCACGGGATGAACAAGGTGTTGAAGACACGGGAGCTTGATCACTTGAGACATTGATCTCTTTCTCAATGACAAGAAAAGGCTCGGTAGTTGGCAACGAGTCTTTTGATGACGGTCCATAGCCTCCAATACCCGTGGACATACCACCCTCAAATAGGCGTGCACACAAGTCAGGATATGGAAGACTTGTAGTCCTCAATGATTCAACATACCTATTGGTCTGTGTTAAAGAAACATTTATAAATAGACACTCAAAACAAAAAAATCGAAATAAAAAAGATCTAAAGTTAGAAAACGACCTCTATCTCCAACTCCCATTCCTCGGGGGTCAAGTTAAAAGTGTTTGTAGAAGAATCATAAACATTGCCGGTTTTGTTTTTTAACTTCAACCAAGCACCATATTTTCCTTTCAAGTAATCAAAATGGTTCCTCATTTGCTTTCGATCAACAACAAAGTTATGTGTGCTTTTCAAAGTATCGACAACTTTCTTCCACGAAAGTGYCTTCAAGCTAGCACCCTYGTTTCCATTYAACCCAACCKCTAGAATACAACTTTCTAAGAAAGTTTTGACAATATTGGGATCCTTCCAACTAACTCTAACCCTTTTTTGTTGTTGTGTTTCACCTGTTTGTTCCATACCTATAACGAACATTCGAGCTATTAAACAAGGAAAAGACATGATAACATTCTAATACAAATAACTAAACCCAAATTGAACCAACTGTTTGAGTTAAAAAAATAGAGTTTCATCTGTTTTAAAAATTAGATAATCTGTTTTGGTGAAGTCTCCTGTTACACACACATTGTTACGATTCAAGAACAGCATAATGAGAGCAGTTTATGGATAAAACAGTGTTCAAAAACTGAGTAATGACACCAGTTCCTGGGGAAAACAGTGTTCAAAAACAGTAGCAGCAATCGAAAAATCTGAACAGATGAACCAAGAACAGTTGGGTGGGTACAGTCCTAAAACTGTGTTAAAAAACAGCATAATGACAGCAGTTGGGTGGGTACGAATGTTTTACTTTGATACAAGAAACTTAGTAGCAGCAGCAATCGAAAAATCTGAACAGATGAACCAGTAGCAGCAGCAATCGAAAATCATAGAACAGATGAACCAGTAGCTGCAACAATCGAAAATCATAGAACAGATGAACATGACATCACATAGTAGCAGCAATCGAGCAGCGATAGAGAAACAATTTAGCAGCAAGAGAGCAATAATCGAGCTCCAATCGAGCATCTAGGGTTTATTTCTAAAAGAAAATAATCGATAGATGAAGAGAAGTACTTACCTTTGCGATTTGAAATCGGCCGATTAGGGTTCTAGACAGGAGAGCGTCGATGGTAGGTGTAAAACCCAAAATTTTAATTATATAAAATAATATATATATATATATATATATATATATATTATACGAGTCTTTAAATACATAATTTTTATTTATTAAATTTATTTGAAGTGTTAAAATATTTATGTGATTAGTTGAAGGAATAATTATCGAAATCTTAAAATTAGAAATGACCAAAGTTGAA